TTATTTATTTATTTATTTTTGGCGGAACCGGGGATTGAACTCAGACCCTCGTGCTTGCCAGGGAAGCGCTTATTCCACTGAGCCATCTCCCTGGCCCCAATTATCTAGTATCTTAACCCTTCTGTTACTGCTCATCTTACCTCTTCATCTTTTTGTTTAGGTTGATGAAGAATATCAAAATCCTCATACTGTGGACCGAGTACCTATGGGGAAGTTGCCTCATATGTGGGGTCAGTCTCTATACATTTTAGGAAGCTTAATAGCGGAGGTAAGGATCAATCCACCTTATTCTGCCTTAATCCCTATAATAATCAGATTTGTAAGTAGTTCATTAAAATTAAAGAACATCATTTGCCTTTTGCCTTAAATATAGTTTCTCCTGGAGGTTCTCAGAGTGGGGAGGATGGCCAGTGTTTAACAAAGCTCTGCTGCCTGGCCGCCAGGTCCCTCATGCTGCCCACAGCTCCCTACTTTGGCATTACACTTGAAGCAGCTCAGGAATCAAACCCTAGATCTTTCCCTTCCAAAACTCCCCTTAGTGTCTTTCCTGGTGATTAACTGCAATTGTGCTTAGCACTTACTGGCAATGGATTAAGTGCTAACCTTCCCAAGCAAAAGAAAGTGAAATTCTTCAATTTAATTAGCTAATCATTTTTAGAAACCCTAAAACATGGTCAGGAACACTAGGTTTTTTGCTTGTTTGGATTTTTTGTTTGTTTTTTTAGTAAAGGTTACCTTAAATATTCCTTATGTCAAATTCTGAGAAAGACTTTAATGAGGCACTTTATATCCAGCTTCGTTGTGGCATTTTGAGTCTATACAAAGGGGTTCTCTTTTTTGCCTGTTTTTGGCAGAACCGGGGTTGAACTCAGGCCCTTGTGCTTGCCAGGCAGGCACTTATTCTGCTGAGCCATCTCCCCGGCCCCCATGAGGGTTCTCTTTTTCAAGTTGTCCAAGGTTACTCACAAATCTGTTTCCCCACTATAGGTTACTTTGGTATGATATAACCCAGGAATATGAATCTATCAAAATAGGCAGAATGATTGTTTAAAGTAATCCCTTTATGGTAACTTTTTCATTGAATTAGAATAAATTAAAGATAATAAGGAAAAGAGATAAATAATATTCTCAAAGACAAAATGGCTACATTCATCACATCTTATAATGGACAGAAACTCAAGTCAAAAAATTTGTTCTGAGCCAAAAGCCCTGAAACAGATGAACAAATGAGAAAATAACAAGACTAATACATTATTGATAATAGGTATTTTAATATGTGTCACCACATATATACCCAGAGACCACAGAAGATTAATAAGAAACTGGTTATTTAAAAATCCCAAAAAGGATTTCAAGGCAGCCATTAAGGAATAAACTTCAGATTAAATTAATTGGACCATGAATTCTAGAAGTTCAAACATTTCCATACAGGGAATTTATTTGTTTGCTTTCTGATGTCCCCCTTAAAACTTTAGTTTTTTCATTTGTATGAGATTTAATAATCTGTCCTTTTGGGGGATTTTAGGGATTTTTAGCTCCTGGAGAAATTGATCCTCTGAATCGTAGGTTTTCTACTGTACCTAAGCCAGATGTCGTGGTTCAAGGTATGTACATACTACTGCTATTTTTTTGGTACTGGGAATTGAATTCAAAACTTTGGGCTTGCCAGGCAGACACTGTGCCACTGAGCTATATCTCCAGCTCTAAGGTAAGTATTCTTATTTCTAGCAACAGAAATTATATACTAAAAGGCTGATTAGAGGCAGAGATCTTTGAGCCACTAAATTATAGATTTATTCTTTTTTAAAAATTTTTATTTATTTATGTGTGTGTGTGTGTGTGTGGCCAGCTCAGCCCACCAGAGGGCGGGGCTGGCTGGCATGTGGTGCTGGGGGATTGAACTGCGGTCCCTGTGCTTTGCTAAGCTTGTTCTAAGTAGGTGCTTTAGACCACTGAGCCATCTCACCAGCCCCAATTCTCACCAGCCCCAATATAGATTTATTCTTAATTCTGTATTTTGTTAAGTGTGTATTTAACTTGGCTCAGTTTGAGTTCAAAATTACTGTTAATCTTAAAATGGGTGTGGTTGCATGCTCCAACTCAGGCAGGAGAATTGTCATAAATTCAAGAGTACCTTGGCCCACATACTGAGTTCAAGGCCAGCCTGAACTACACAGCGAGACCCTGTCCCAAAAAATCAAACAAATAAAAATTAGTATTAATCATAAACAAATGAACGATGTGCAATGTCATAGGATTACAAAATATTACTTATCACTCCTTATTTCCGGAATCTCTTTTCTTTTAATTACTATGACAAACCAATTTTCATGAGGTTTTTCAGCTTCTACTTTCTTTTGATGACTTCCTTTTGATTTTATAGTTAGCCTCATGCTCTTTTCTTTCTGTATTTATCTATACCCATGTATTCATTTGCTAGGGCTTTCTTCCTCCTAATAAATTTTCTTCTTATCATCACATCTTTGAAGAGTATTGTCTGTATTAGTAAGCTTCCCTGTCACTGAGACACAATACCTTACACACACACACACACACACACACACACACACACACACACTTTAAAGGAGGAAAAGTTTAATCTAGCTCAAGGTTTTAGACAATTTAGTTCATGGATGGAAGACTCTAGGGCTTCATGCCAGAAGGGCATCACAGAGCAAAGCTGCTTAGTTCATGGCAGCTGGAAAGCAGAGTGGAAGAACAGCACTAGAAAAAAATGGATGAGGGACCATATGGACTACCTAAAGTCATACTTTCCTGATCAACCCACGCATACCCATGAGTGTGCTTCACTAATCTATTAGGTAGTTTTTAATCTAATGAAGTTGATGTATATCAGCCCTTTGTCAATTTTACATCCAAACACATGTCCTTAAACTATATTTAATCTCCAAATAAAGGTAATAGTATGCTCATAATTATATCTGACGTAGTACAGCTATCCCAAATACAACCAGAAATGCAACAATATCCTCCTCAGAATCTCAATAGTACCGACATTTTTCAAATCCAAGTCTTTCTTCAAATTGGTTGCAGTCCACATGAACTCTCTCTTAGGCTGGATCCATCCATGGCTCGCAGCTTTTCTCCACAGAAATATTACATTCCTGCGTCTTTCACCTCATAGTTCTCCATTTTACCTTTGTATTCATACCTACAGCTTCATGTACTGCCCTTTCAGGGACTCCTTCCCTATGTTCCCAGGCCTTCCTTTGAAATTTGAGACAAAGCCTGCCTGACCCCACAACTGTTGTATTCTATATTCCAGTAAAAGCAGTATCACGTAGATGATGCCAAGGTATGCCAACAGCCTAGCCAGTCCTCTTTGCACCATGACAGCAGCAGTCTCTGAGTGCTGGATAGCACAACACAGTGAAATAAATCTCTCTCTCTCTCTCTCTCTCTCTCTCTCTCTCTCTCTCTCTCTCTCTCTTTCTTTCTTTCTTTCTTTCTCTGTCTCCCTCTTCCTCTCCCTCTCTCTCTCTGCATCCAGTCAACAAGTTCTAGCTTCCTTAATAATTCTGAAATCCATCCCGTTTCTTATAGAATCTATAGCATGACCCTAGTGTAGGTCATCAACATCTCCCCTTGCATTATAGCAATATCTTTCTAATTGATCCCTCTGTCTTTTATCTGGGACCACTATAGTCTATCAGTTTCTTCTTTTCTTCCTCTACCTCCTGTTCTTCCTTTTTTTTCTTTTTAACCTTTGTAGCCCACATATGAAAATAACAGCTTATTCTTTCACTATAAACCTAATATATATTGTTTAAGATGTAGTGTGCATATGATATTCCTCTGACTACAAGTTTGCAAGGACTTCCCTTCACAAATTTCTTTATTAAGATTTAGGATTTACAAGGCTTTTTATAATCTGAGGTTTGACTTTGTCTTCTGCTTTATTTCTCATTGCTGCTTTTTTATACTCCTTTTTCCTTCTATAAAGGACTTTTTATAATTCTTTTATCTGCCTAGTTCTTTGCTATCTTGAGCCTTTGTCATGCAATTTTTTTAATGTATGTAGTACAGGGTCTACAGGGTCTCACTATGCAGTTCAAACTCATACTGATCCTCCTGTTTTCAGCCTCCCAAGCACTGGGATTACAGGGGTGCACCACCATGCCCAGTCTCAGTCGCTGTCTGAGTGTACCCCAGGGCAGCCGGGGATAGAACCCTCATCCCTGCAGCTTCCTAAGCAGGTGCGTTAGCCATGCAATTTTTTTGTGTTAATTAATTTCTCCCCTTTACCATCACTTTTGTCAGATTTAACTCCTATTTAGTCCTTCAGCAGGATTTATCAGGTCTATATATCCCTAGCATCTGAAAGTGCCCAGCACACAAAAAGCAATAAATAATTTTCTCATATTTTATAAAACATAAAATAAACAAGCTATTTGGTTGCAGACCCATATTTTTCATGTGACTCTCCTTTAGTCCCCTCTACTTCCATTACCAACTACATTGCCCCTAAAGAACCCTAAAGCATATAGAATGCAGCTTAAAAATTTTGTCTAGATAATATACATGACCCTTAATGTGACACATCTGCCTTCCGTAATTACCTAAGCCCTGTCCACCTTTCCACATTTCTTTCTTTTGCCACTGTGCAAGCTCCTCCATGATATGACAGTATGAAATTGTGTGTGGTTCTCCCTATCTCCTAGTCCTGTAACCACAGTCTTTTTCATAACCATTAAGTTTATTCCAGATCCTGTACCTCAAATGGCTATACCCCCTATCTGTTTCTTTCTCCTTGCACACTTACACGTTCTTTTAAATTCAAGCATCATCTCTGTCAGAGTGCTTTTCCTGAAAGCAACCATCCAAATTCCAGACTGGATAGGTATCACTTCTGGGTGGTCTCATGATGTCTTGTGTATACCTCCATTTATTTATGAACTTATTTTATAATTAGTTTCTGTATGTGCCACTTCCTTTACATGATGGGTTCCTTGGGAGAAACACTACTTTATTCATCTCTGTATTCCTAGGCACTGGCATAGTATGCCACCCATTTGGGCACTTTGTAAATATGTTTAATGAATGAATAACAAATGAATAGGTAATGAATGAATAATAAATGAATAGGTGACCACATTATTTCCCTGGACTATTCTCAGCCACTATCTTTCTTCCTCTGAATATTTTCCCGGTACCTTTTCCTTTTTCAGTTTATGTTGTCACTTAGAAGTGATGGGGTTGTTGTTATGTATGGGGACTCTATAATCACCATATCCTGCATATCATGGCCTAGACCTCAACAACCCATTAGCATTAAACTTCCAAGATAGAAAAGTTCATGGAATAATAATAAAAAGCAAAATAATACTTTGTTAACCAGCTTTTGTCCCAAAAACCAAGCAAAGAAGATGCAGTGTGCTGAAAACAACCAACTGGTATACTATTTTTCCTGTACACCTAACATAGGACATCTACCAACTCTAGAGGAGCAGGAGCAAAAGAGGGCATGATTGTCCTTGGTGGTTAGTGTTAAACCAGCCGAAACATCCCTTGGACTTATTGTCCCCAGCCAGGTATCCATCCCATAGAGAGAAAATGAAAACAAGGATCAAGAATCAGGCCTAATTTCTTCCCATGTACATAGACTTATTACTTCAGTGACATGAATGCAAGTGGAAGAAAATGGACCTGTCCTGTCCTTTAGTAAGCTCTGGTTCTAGATAAATGTCATCTCTATCACCCCTTATCCCTCCTCTCCAAATCCACAACTATAATTCCTCTTATATGTTGATGACTCAAATCTTTATCCCCAATTCACCCTTCCTTCTGCCATTCTGTAGCCATGGGAGAATTCTTGGCTAATTAAGATGTTCCTTCTTACTCTCACATTCTTGGCCCTGACCTTATGTGTACTGATATAAAACATACTATACAATCAATGTATACCAAAGCTGTTTTTTAACCCTCATGGTTTTTTTCCCCATTTAAATATAGAATCTCAAGGGCCGGTTAAATTGCTCAGAGAATTAAAGCACCTGCAAGCAGGCGGGGACCGGGGGTTCAATCCCCAGGCCTGCTGTGCTAGCCCCACCCCCGGGGCATGCTGAGACTGCAGTTGAGACTGGGCGAGGTGGCGTGTACCTGTAATCCCAGGTCTTGGGAGGCTGTAAACAGTAGAATCACTATAAGTCCAATCTAGTAGTGAGACCCTGAACACCCTGTAGACCCTTCCCTAAAAACAGAAAAAATAGAATCTCAGATTTAGAGTATATCATTCTCCAGGAACACATAGATGCTTAGTTAGAAATCATTATGTAATTCTCTAGTCATCTTTGTCCTTTTTTATTTAGATATTATTATGTACTTAGCATGATATCTGTTGTATCAAAGTTCCTCAACAACTGTTCATTTCCTTCCTTCTTTTCTTTTTCTCCAAAAGAAATTATGTCCTTCAAAGATTTTTAGGTTCCTACTAAAACAAAAACATCTGTTGACGTCATTCTCTTTCTTTCCTATAGTTTCTATTCTAGCTGAAACAGAAGAAATCAAGGCCATTTTGAAGGACAAAGGAATTGATGTGGAGACTATTGCTGAGGTATACCCCATCAGAGTACAACCAGCTCGTATTCTCAGCCACATTTATTCTAGTCTAGGTAAGGAGACTGGTCAACCTGCCAGAATCATAGCCATATGTGATATGGGATAATTTCCCTCCATTTCTTCCTTTTTCATCTTACATTGCTTTATTAAACTGGATCTGAAAAGGAACTTAGAGTCCTCAGATTCCGAATTTCTAACTCTTGTTTTTGTTTTTTTTTTTTTTAGCAGAATTGATACTTTTGGGAGTGTTTTATGAATCTTCTGGTGATTGTTTTCAGGCAATATTGTATCTTTATTCAAAGTGTATTAATTGACATGCTCTCCCCTTATGTGGAACTTGTATTTCTGTTTCAAATACATGCTAATTTTATATAGAATTATAGACAAGGAGCTTGTTTTAGGGTTTTTATAACATCATGTAAGGAACTAGTTGATTATTTATGGAAATTTAAAGAACATTTTGATGTTCTATAATAACATCAGAAAGAATAAAATATGTAAGAATCAACTTGACCAGGAAGAAAAGACTCATACACTGAAAATGGTAAAACATTAAAAATAAATTAAAGAATACACAAATAAATGGAAAATACACGACATGTTTATAGGTTGAAAGATTTAATGTTATTAAGATATCAGTGCTGTTCAAACCTATCAATAGATTCAGTAACATTCCTTAAAACATGTCAATTGATTCTTGCAAAAAAATAGAAAATTGAGTCTAAAATTAATACAGAAACTGAGTGATCCCCAAGTAACCAAGACAATCTTGGTCAAGGAGTTATACTTTACAATTTCAAAACATACTACAAGGTTACAGTAATAAAAACACTGTAATACTGACATAAAGAGAGATATATCAAACAATGAAATAGGAATAAACCCTTGTATTTAGGTCAAATAATTTTCAGCAAGAGAATCAGCATCATTCAAAGGATAAAGGAAAATTTTTGATTTTTTTGTTTTGTTTTGTTTTGTTTGTCAGAACCAGAGATTGAACTCAAGTCCTTGCGCTTGCCAGGGAAGGGCTTATTCCACTGAGCCATCTCCCTAGCACTGGAAAGTATTTTTAATAAGTAGGGCTGGGAGAAATATATCTACATGAAAAGAATGAAATTGGGCCCTTACCTAGCACCATGTAAAACAATGCAAAATGTATTAAAGACCAAAATAAGATGTAAAAATATAAATTTCTTAGAAAAAAAATGTAAAATCTTCTTGATATTAGATTTGGCAGTAATTTCTTGGATGGATATGACACCTAAATTATAAGCAACAAAAGAAAAAATAAGAGACCTTTGTGCATCAAAAGGAACTCTCAACAAAGTGCAAAGGCATTCCACAGAATAAGAGAAGCTATAAATCTTATATATGATAATAATAACCAGAAAATGTAAAGAACTGCAACTGAAAAGCAGTAAAAATACAACTAGATTTAGAAATGGGCAAAGAAGTTGCATAGACATTTCTTCAAAACAATAATGCAAATGGCCAATAAGCAGATGAAAAATGTTCAACATCTCTAATCACCTAGGAAATGTAGATCAAAACCGTAGTAAGATATAAATCATAGCTATTGTCCCAGTTACTCTTCTCTCATTGCTGGGACAAATACCTAACACCCAAAATGAAGGAAGGAAAGCTTTATTTAGCTCACAGTTACTGGAGGTTTCAGTCCATACTTAACTGGCTCCAAGGCAGAGCAGCACATGGCAGAGAGCAGCTTTTCATGGTGCTGGCAAAGAGCAGAAAACAAAATGGAAGAGTAGCAGCAGCTCAAGCAGCTAGCTTCTCAGCCCTCCTTACATTGTAATGCAAATTACCTGCCCCAGGGCAGATGTAGCACCCGTAATCCCAGTGGCTCATGAATTGATCACAATCTCTAGAAGTCTGCCCCCTGACTGCATGAGGCTTTGGGGGGACACCTAGACACAAACTGTAACACCTATCATGATGGCTATTATTTTAAAAAAACAAAACTACTATTAAGAATTTGGAGTAATTAAAGATGTAGTAGAGTGTTGTTGGGAGTGCAATTTCTTAAAAAAAATTAAACAGAATTACTATACAACTCAGCAATTCTACTTCCAGGTATATACTCACAAGAACTGAGAGTGGTAACTTGAACCAATGTCTTCTAACTAATGCATACTCCTATTCACAATAGCCAAAAGGTGGGAAACACCCACATGTCCATTAGTAGGTGAATAAAAAAAACCAAATGTGGTATATACATAGAGTAGAACTCCGTTCCTTCTGACATACACCAAAAAACAAATGTAGCTTAAGGACATTATGCTGAGTGAAATAAGCCACTTACAAAATGACAAATGGTACATGATTCTACTTCTAGAAGAGGCCCATAGAGTAGGCAAATTCATAGACTCAAAGTAGAACAGTTCTTATCTGAGGCTGAGATGAGGAAGACCCATCTGAAAATAGATGGTCATAATATGTACACAATGCTGTGAATATATTTAAATATATTTAAAGTCATTGAACTATATGCTTACATTATCAAAATGGTTTTCTTTTATGTATATGTAACTTTAATAAAAATCAACAAAACTGAAGGAGTAGAGAATAAACCTAGTTGTGATAATGAGTCGCAAGTCAACTATGTGCTCTACTGAGTAGACCCTGGAATATAACAAGCACTGGTGATTCTCTGGTTCCGGCCCCCTAAAAGCGACGCAAATCTGCAAATGTAGCATATTTCATAACATAACACTGAGAATAAAGCAAGGGAAAATAAAATACTCAAGGAAAACATTTTGGCCAAAACATAAAGCTGTAGAAGTTCTGTAAGTACTAACGTGAAAGCATATTTAATATGTAGGGGAAAGTTTCAGAACAATATGTATATTATGCTGTTATACAAGAAAAATGTGTGTGAATAAGTAAACCATTTTCTCATTGTAAGAGATACTGTTTTAGTGTGTATCTCGATATAAAACATGTTTGCTACTTTGATATTTGTACTAAAAATATTTTAACCATTTCTCAATTCTGTCTTAGGATGCAACAGTAGAATGAAACTCACCGGACGGCCATATAGACTCATGGGAGTGCTTGGAACTTCAAAATTGTATGACATTCGGAAAACTATCTTTACTTTCACCCCTCAGGTGGGTGAAATAAGTAAAACATGCATTGAGATGGAAAAAAAAAGAAACATTTCAAATACAAATCATTTACTGGACTTTGCATAAACATCATGGGCAGAGGGCTTGCACATTTTAAGTTGCTCAGTAAATATTTTTTGAAGTGAACTGTAGCAGAGTTATGTCTTGTGATTGTGACTACCAAGCATAATTCTGAATATTGCAGAAACTGTGACTAGAGGTTTTATAAATGTTGAACTACTTACAAAGTTCTCCTAATTTTTAAAAATTAAACTGACAGTATTTGTCCTTTACAAAGTAAAACACAGTCTTTTTATTCAGCTACTAAATTATACATTTTCTCAGAAAGAGGCCTTTTTTTCTGTGGATGGAAATCTTAACTATCTCTTCAGAAAGAAAGGTTAGTACTGTTGAGCTGTGATTATATATCTCATTAGCCTGGTGTTTGTTAACTACATTAAAATAACAAACTTGATTATATGTGTGTGGGGGAAGAGAAACTATTTGCTGGAAAGAAAACTTACTTTTAGTTTGTCATCTTATATCTGAAATAGTAAAGCTAAAGTAGCTATAGATGAGAGGAATGGATCTTAAACTATATTTCTTTTTTTTTCATTACTTAACTGATTTTAATAACATGACAACAAGCCCCTAAGATTGACATAATCATTATGCAAAATACATAGCTGAATACTGACTTCTTTTAAAAATATAAAATAGGGGGGCCGGGGAGATGGCTCAGTGGAATAAGCACTTCCCTGGCAAGCACAAGGGCCTGAGTTCAATCCCCGGTTCCATCAAATATATATTGAGCAAAAACATGTGAAAATAGGCAAGTTTCCATTACACAAATGAAAATTTTAAAAAAATAAACTTTTCTTTTTCCATGTCATTTGAAGGAAAAGTATAATTTTAAACAATATTCAAGTTTATTAAACAAATTAAAAATGAGTTATAAAATGTTTAACTTTCATCAGCTTCAAGGTTTATGTTACTGCCAAATTTCACATATAATTGAACTTTCAAATCAGCTAACACCCCCTGAATTGATTCTACTCTGGATTGTAAGGCGTCGATTTCTTCTTGCAAATTTTTCTTTGCTTCTTCTAGCATTTCTTGTGTTTCTTCTTGAGAATGGCTAATGAAATACTTTGCCGATCTGATACCGTATCATTAAGCAGTCGTCGTCCGCGAGCATGATGTCGTCACATGCTTCTTCTAAATTCTGGAGCTACTTCTTTTTTAGCTCTATTTCTTCCTTTAGCTCTGCGATTCTACTCTTGTTCCGCGCAAATTTGTTTATCTTCTGTTGATCTTCAAAAGTGACCTTGACGTCTTCTGCAGCAGTTACTAGGTGCCACCTGAAAATATATGCTAAAAAGAGGCGCTCTGAGCTCGATCCCCAGCTAGGCTGCCCACCAGCTGAACCACCACAACACTGCCGGGTCCAAGTTTCTCCATCCAGAAAGCGGGAGACAGCGTCCCTGCAGAGAGGTCGGAGGATCCCAGCTGTCCCCGGGCCGCAGAGAGGCCTGGATCCTCCGCCCTACTCGACGCCGGCGTTTGCTCAGAGGGCGCAGGGGGCGCCGGGCGCCGAGCCCGGGCCTGGACGGCCAGGGATGGGCCACAGCGCTGGGGCGCCCCCTGCGGGCCGAGGCTCGGGGGAGCAGTTGCAGCGCTCCCAGCATCGCCACCAAGCCTGGCAATGGCCGATCTGCATCCGCACAGCGTCGGCCCCAGCGTCCCTGCCCCAGCTCCCACCCCTGCCAGAGGCCCGAAGATGCCGGAGTGCCACGCCTCCCGCAGAGCTGCCACAGGGCCCGGGACTTGGGTGCCCCGCAACCCTGGCCTGGGCTGCCTGGTCCCGCCCCCGCGGCGCCCCCCCACGTCCCCCTCCTTCCTCCCCCCAAGCCTCTGCCGCCGCCCACGCCCTAGCGCCCTTAAACTATATTTTTGACTTTAGCATTTGATAGCCTTAAGGTCCCTTGCCATTGCAACATAGTGTCTGTCTCTTAGCCTCATTTCTCCTTCAGCAGGTAGATTATAGAATTAAAGAAAATTTTGTGCTGAAAAGATTTTATAAACTATGTAACAGTTCGAAAATGTCTGGAGCCATTTTTATATGTATTATTTGACTATGATATACTTTAGGAAGTATTGGACATTAAATTTGAGAGCATTGTTGCCTCTGTGACATGTAAGTTTTTAAACATTATTTTCTAATTCTGAAAGCAAGTTGTTCTAAATTTTTTTTTCTTTTTCTCAGTTTATAGACCAGCAACAGTTTTACCTGGCTCTGGACAATAAGATGATAGTGGAAATGCTCAGAACAGACCTCTCATACCTGTGCAGCCGCTGGAGGATGACAGGCCAGCCCACGATCACCTTCCCCATCTCACACAGCATGCTTGGTAAGGGCAGTGTGAGACCAGGGCATGACTGAAAAACACTCATGAGGGTAGAAGTTAGATGTTTAGTCCTTCAACAGCCTACAGCTAGTGAAGAGCTACTTCTTGGGATTTCGTCTTTCAACAGTACCTCCCGGGTCCTCTCTTGCACCAGGCGTTTTGCTAAGCACTAGAGACACATGGGGTACATAAGGCAGAAGAGGTCTTTATGCTCCTGGAGCTTATGTTTTACAAGACAAAGACAGACCGTATGAAAGAAATAAGCAAACATGCAATATTTCAAATAGTTTCAGATCCATAATTTTAAACCTGTAGCAGAGAATTAACTTGGTTGGAGACTACTTTAGGTATCTGAGTCAATTAACAGAAACCATTCATACAATTCTTTTAAAAGACAACAGTGCTACAGTCTGTCTATTTCAATCAAGATTTTATAGATAAATTCCCAGGCTTCTCCTTCCAAAGTCTGTCTAAGCCAAGCAATAGAATCCAGAAGGGAAATGTGAAAAGGCCTTTGTTGTTTTCTTTGTTTTGTTTTGGACTGGATTTCCCGACATTGCTTATTTGAAACTTGGTGAAAAGCTTTATTGTTCTCCTAGGTTCTGTAGGACTAGAGCCAATGTTGAAGCCACTGTTTTTTGGGGTTTTGGTTTTTGGTTTGGGGGGTTTGGGGGTTTTCTGTGCCTCTGGTGTTGTTTCCAAAGGTCTGTTTGTACTGCCAGTGTATGCAGTGTTCTTTTTCATTAAAAAAGAATACCTTATAAATCATTCAAACTCCAGACATTGTTAGGCTTTTGGGTCACATTTCAAAAACAATTAGACATAATACATTCTTTAGAAATACCAGATTTAAGGAAGTAAGATTTTTCTTTTTCTTTTCTTTTTTTTTTTAACCAGGGATTGAACTCAGGCCCTTCCACTTGCCAGGCAAGTGCTTATTCTACTGAGCTATCTTCCCAACCCCCGGAAGTAAGATTTTTAAAAATATTCCTTCTTTATTTAGGACAATTAACAAATACCCATTTTATAAATCCTATGTGCTTAGAATTTTCTTCAGAATGTATTAAATCTAATTGGAGAGGCAGATCTAATATGTAAGAATAATAGAAAACAATCTAAGATATTATATACAGAAATACTATACCGTAATAGTATTTCACAGTGAAGGTTATCAGATGATCAGAAAAAAAAATCTCTTAATTTAGGTAGGACTTTTACAGCTTTTTGGAATTGTTAATATCCAGATGAGAAGGGACAAGTAGAAAGATAATTAAATGAGGGCAGGGGAAATGCCATGAGTAAGGCCTAGAGACAGAAATGAGCTCAACTGGTGAGACCAGTGAAGAGACCAGCCGGAAAAGAGTGGGCTTGATTTATTCAAATATGATTACAAATAAAACTGGAGAACTAAGGTGAAGTCAGATTATGAAGACTTTGAAAGTAAGCAGAGCTATGTAAAACAGATTTTCTCAGAAGTCTGGAAGCATCAGTGATATTTAGGGAATATTGTTTAGTGACAGTACACAATGTCATGAGGAAAGACCGATGTCTGGAAAAGTAATCCACATATGAGTAAAGAGAAGATATACTGTACTAGTGGCAATAAGAATGGAAAGGACACAAAAGTCACTTTAAACAATGTCTGCAAGGCAGATGCTGGCTAACCAGATATGAGATGAATCAAGACAATAACACTCAAACACAAAGTATCCCTGTCCATTTGTGTTGCAACAAAATACCATAAACTGAATAATTAGTAAACAATAGAAGTTCACCACTGTTCTGGAGGCAAGGTGCCACAAAGTTTGCAGTCTGGGGAAGGCCTAGTCTTTCTGCTCCCAAAAGGTTCTTTATTACTGTATCCTTCAAAGGTGATGACTGTGTGTCTTGACAGGGCAGAAAAAAGACAAACTGACTTCTTCAAGTCCTTTTATATGGTTCCTAACCCCATGCATTAGGATGCTGTCCTCATGACTTAATCGCCTTGTAAAGGCACTACCTCATAATGCTATTACATTGGCCATTAAGTGTCAACATATTTGTTTTCAAGGACACTGAAAGCGTATACTAGGTAAAGGATGCTGCCACTAATAGAAGCAGAAAAATATTATAGGAAGAAACTCAATATTGGGGCCAGGAAGATAGCTCAGTAGAATAAGCGCTTGCCTGTAGAATAAGCACTTGCCTGGCAAGCGCAAGGGCCTGAGTTCAATCCCCAGTTCTGCAAAAAAAAAAAGAGGAAGAAACTCAATAGCATAATTGAGATGACAGTGAACTTGAAAGAGAAATATATTCTGGAAAATGTATAATTTATGTTTTGTGTATAATGTAATACCTAGAGTAAGCACTAAGTGAAATAAGAACAAACTCATTAGTTATCACATTAAAATGTGAATTAAGTTCTCATATTAAAGACAAAAAGTCCCAAAATACACAAAAAAACAAAACCAGCTCCTTACAAAATATGATCCTAAAATAAAATTATATGGGAAGATGGAAAATGAAGTAACATGCAAAGATACATCACATTAGCTCAGTGAACTAAAGCGCCTGCTTAGGCAGACACAGGGACCAGAGTTCCATCCTGGCCCTGCCCCCAGGGTACACTGACAGCAACTGGTACTGGGCGTGATGGTGCACGCCTATAATCTCAGCAAATTGCAGGCTGAGAACAGGAGAATCACTGAGTCCAATCTATGTAGTGAGACCCTGTAGACCCTGTACTAAATACATAGAAAAAAAGATACATCATGTGCCATAAATGCTAACAAAAGGAAAGCAATCTGAATATCAAAACTAGTAAGCAAAATTTGAGGCACAGATAATTAAATGACGCAAGAAGGATGTTTTATATTGGTAAAAATCATATACCAACATGATAAAATTAATAGGAAAATTTTTTCTACTGAAAATACTAATGAAATATATAAAGCAAATATTAAGAAAAATTAAAGACAGTATTATAAAACTATTGTACACTCATAGTG